ATTAAGATCCGTCCGCATATTTCTTTCTTTCTTTCTTTCTTTTTCTTGTTTTTTTTTCTTTTCTTTTATAGCATCGGACGGTTAAGATCGACGCTACGTGATGTTCTTTTTTTTATTGTTCATTGTTATATAGAGATAAAAAGATTGATTTGGATCCTTGTAGATACATTAAACTCGAGATGGTTTTCATTATCATTAATCTTTAATAACAACCAAAGAGGATGAGATAAAATTATATCTAAAATAACCATTTAAAAAGTATCTATGTACACCATTTGATACATAAAATAATTACTTAAGAAAATAGCTATCTGCAACATTATCACACATACATAAAAAAATAACACCGAAAAATAACAAAGAAATAAACACTATCCCACGACGGTTCCCTCAACAACAAGAACATCAAAAACATCAACAACAGCGCCATGGTTTCCCGCACGTACACCCACACACAAAAAGAAGATCCCCTAAAAAAATAATAAAAAAAAACTAACGAATAAATAAATAAACACAAAAAGAGGATCCATCTTACCCCTCTTAAAAAGGGGGAAATGGAAGAAAAACTGGAAGGAAGGAAGAAGGAAGACACGAGGATAAGAAGAAAATTTAAAAGAAAAAGGGGAGTTGCGTTAGGACACAAAATGGAATAAAAAGATAAAAAGTAGATTTAAAAAAAAATGTCAGAAATATTAATATAGTTACGATATCATTTAACCCTAAAAGAAGGTATCCTTGGGCAAGGTGCAAATAAGGATGAATTCTGCTATAAAAACAGGGGCATCACTATAAAAAAAATCGCATAAATAGAAAAAAAAAATATTGGATAGCCCGCACGTATGACACGCAAAAAAAAAAAAAAAAAAAAAAAAAAGACCGTTAAGCAGCCATGAATTTTAGCATAGGGCGTGGCGGGGAAAAAGAAATAGGAGAGAAGGAAGAAAAAGGGATAAAGGAGGAAGAAAAACGGAGAGAAGGAAGATAAAGGAGAAAAGGAAGAAGAAAGGAGAAAAAAAGAAAAACGGAGAAAAAGAAGAAGAAAAATGAGAAAAGGGGAAGAAGTAGGAGAAAAGGAAAAGAAGAAGGAAAAAGAGAAAGGGAAGAAGAAGAAGCAAAACATGGAAAATGAACAGGAAGCAAGGAAGATGGAAGAAATTAAGAATACAATAAATTCCAAAGAAAATGGAGTTAAGTCAGGACCAAACAGGAATACAAGAAGAATATCACTAAATAATTTCCCAAAAAAAAGAACAACGCCTTAGGCAATATGCAAATAAGGATGAATTTAACTATAAAAAAGGAGAGGCATCATCATCATCAGAAAAAAAATCGCATTAAAAACACTAAAAAATAAAAAATAAATTAACTAGCTGGTCCCCCGCACGTACGACGAGCAAAAAAATATGACTAATCGGCAACTACGAATTTCGCGTAGGGTGTGGCGAGGAAGAAGAAAGAGGAGAAAAAGACGAAGAAAAAGGAGAGGAGAAAAGGAAGAAGAAAAAAGAAGAAGGAGAAGAGGGGGAGAGGATAGGAGGAGGAGGAGGAGGCGAAGAAGAAAAAGAAGAGGAGGAGGAGGAAGAGAAATGGGAGAAAGGGATGAAGACGATGAAGATGAAGGAGAAAGGAAAAGAGGAGAGAAGAAAGAAGGGGAGGAAGAAGAAGAAGGGATGGAGAAGAAGAAGAAGAAAAATAAGGAGGAGGAGGAAGAAGAACAAGAACAAGAGAAAGAAGAAGAAAGAGGCGGAGGAGGAGAAAAAAAGAAAATGATGAAGAAGAAAAGAAGACGAAGCGAAACAAGTACAAAAAATCTTCCTCTGTGAAGATCAAGGTCAGGAAGAGGAAGGGGAAGAAAAATCGACAAAAAATATATTCTTAAAATAAAGACAAAATAAAAAAATATATAAAAGTGAAAGCCAAGTCGAGGTCGAAGGGGAAGAAGAAGTAGAAGAATAAAAGGGAAATAAAAATCCTAAATAGGAGATCCTAAAGACGAAATAGGGAGGAGAAAGATGGAGGAGAAGCAGGTGTAGAAGAGGAAGCAGGAGAAGGAGAAGAAGAAGAGGATGATGATAAACAAAGAAGAAGAAGGTCGCGAAGAGGAGGAGGAGGAGAAGGAGAAGGAGAAGAGGAAGAAGAAGAAAGGGGAGGAGTAAAAGAAGAAAAGACGATGAACCGAAACAAATAGAAAAAATTCTCTGTGAGGATCAAGGCCAGGATGAGGAAGAAGAAAAATCGAAAAAAATATTCATAAAATAAAGATAAAAGATAAAACTATAAGAGTGAAATCCTAGTCGGGGTCGAAGGGGAAGAAGAAGTAGAAGGATAAAAAATCCTAAATAAGAGAAAATGGGCGAAATAGAGGAAGACGAAGATAGAGGAGAAGCAGATGTAGAAGAGGAAGCAGAGGAGGAAGAGGAGAAGAGGATGATGATAAAGGTCGCGAAGAGGAGGAAGAGAAGAAGAAGAAGAAGAGGAAGAAGAAGAAGAAAAAAAAAAAAAAAAAAGAAGACGAAGAAGAAGAAGAAGAAAAAAAACAAAGACCGAGACGAAAAAGAAAGAAAAAAAATGCAACTAAAAAGACAGAGACAGAGAACATGTAGTTTTACGAAAAAGAAAACAGGAAATAAAAAACAGCATTCCAGTAGAGATCAAGACGACGTTCAAGGCTACAAAAAAAAAGAAAGATAAAAAATACAAAGAAGACAAGCAGGAAATTCTAAAAAGGAGATGAAGTAGAAGAGGAAAAGAAAGAAAACAAAAGGAAAACAGGAAATCGTTATAAGAAGAAGCAGAAAATGGATGATAAGAAATCATGAAAAGAAGAGATAGAGGAAGAAACAAGAGAAAATCAAGAAAACATGAAAAGAAGAGATAGAAGAAAAGAAGATGAGGAAGAAGAAGAAGAAAATGAAAACAGGAAACCAGAATGCAAGATAAAGTAGAAAAAGAGAAAGAAAGATAAAGAAGAAGAGACAAAAGAAGACCAGGAAGAGGAACTAAAACGAGAAAATCCTAAAAAGGAGAAGAAAAAGAAAAAAAAAATCCTTAATAGAAAAGCTAGAATTATATAAGAAGAGGAACTGCAGCAATAATAACGAATATAAGGAGATGATGAACAATTGCAATAACAACAATTACGACAACAACAGTAATATCATTATGGAGGAAAAGACGATGTTGAAGTAGTAGTAGCAGAAGAAGAAGAGGAAAAGGAGGAAAAAGAAGAAGCAGAAGATGATGAAGAAGAAAAAGAAGCAGAAGATGAAGAAGAAAATGAAGAACAAACAACAAAAACCAACAAACTAAAAAAAATAAAAAAATAATATATATACATATATATACATATATATATATATATATAATATAATAATATAATATATATATATTATATAATAATAATAATAATAATAATAATAATAATAATAATATAATAATAATAAATAAAAATAGAATAAAAAGGATTCACACTCAGGACTCGAAACGTAGCCACACGCCAAGCAGAGTCTCTACTCACCCAAGAAGGTCACGAGAGAAGCGACGTTTCGAGAAGATTCTGGAATGTCTTCGAGAATTCTTAAGATGGCGGGGAAGCTCAGGCCCTGGGGGAGGGGGGGAGGGGGGGGAGAGAGAAAAAAAATGAGTGTGATAGAGATGAGGATGAGGGGTGATGAGAGGGTGAGGGTGATGATGACTGATGATGATGATTGGTTGGTGGTGGGTGGTGGTGATAATGATGACAATTATGATGATGAGGTGGTTGTGGGTGGTGGTGGTGGTGGTGGTGGTGGTGGTGGTTGTGGTGGTGGTGGTGGTGGATGATGATGATGATGATGATGATGATGATGATGATGATGATGATGATGATGATGATGATGATGATGATGATGATTGATGATGATGATGATGATGATGATGATGTGATGATGATGGTGATGATGATGATGATGATAAAATGTGTGTAAAAATCTAAAATATGGATGGACATGTTAACGGAAGACTTTTTAAAATAGGATGAATATTTGTTAATGATTTTTTAAATAAGGAACATGTAATGACGAATATGAAAACAAAAAGCAACAAATCAAAAATATGAAAAAATGTAGAATTACATTTCATTAATATTACCAGATAATAATAACAAAGATAAATCTACATGAATAAAACAACAATAATCACTCATCGTTCAACAATTACTGAACATCAACTTAATCAACATATTGAATCAATAAGTTGCAATAACCAATCAACCCTCGTGTGCTTTCCAATCCTAATCACCTAACTTCACGATCCAATTAATTCCTCTTTCTAATCCCTATTTTTCAATTGCAGTTTTTCTTAAACAATTGTCTAAATCTTCAAGCCCATTTCCTTAATTCATCTACCAAAATTACCTAATCAATTACCCAATTCTTCGGTCCCCATTTCCCTAAAGTTTTAAAGCAGTTACCTATTTTTTTTTTATTGGTTACCTAACTTCTCGACGAAATTGGTTTTCTCGACCCAACTGTTCTATTTCTATTTTCATTGGCTAGCTATGTAATTAAATTCTAAATCTATATTTTCCAATCCTGATTACCAAATTTCTCGACACAATTACCTAACTTAATTTCTAAACAATATCCAGTGACCAATCAACGATACCCAAATACCCTAACTTCTCAGCCCTAATAAGCTAACTTCTCAACCCAAATCCCTAATCACCTGACTTCACAACCCAAAAATCCCCTAATTACTCTCAACCCAAATCCCTAATCACCTAACTTCTCAACCTAAAATTCCCTAATCACCTAACCTCACAACCCAAAAATCACCGAATTACTCTCAACCCCAATTAGCGAAACCAATTAACCAAGGAAAGTGCACCTACCTGCGCCGCACCTTGAACGACCCTGAGTGCCAACAGCGCCCAAGGACCTCCTAAGGACACCGGATGGGTAACGAGCCCGAGGATGCCGGTCACGCCCACAGAAGCTGCTAGGACACCGCCCACGCCCGCCCTTGGGGGGGAAAAAGGGCGGTTGTTAGGTTGGGTTTGAATGGGTATCTCTTTTTATTTCTTTGTTTTCTTTCTTTCTTTACTTTGCATTTTTTTTTCTCCCTCTCTCTATATATATATCTCCCTCTCTCTCTCTCTCTTCCTCTCTCCTCTCTTCTCTCTCTCTCTCTCTCTCTCTCTTCTCTCTCTCTCTCTCTCTCTCTCTCTCTCTCTCTCTCTCTCTTTCATCCTCCCTCTCCCCTCTCTCCTCTCTTTCTCTCTGTCTTTTCTTTCTCCTTTCTCTTTCTCTTTCTCTCCCTCTCTCTCTCTTTCATTCTCTCTCCCTCTCTCTTTCTCTCTCCCTCTCTCTTCTCTTCTCTCCCTCTCTCTCTCTTTCATCTCCCTCTCTCTCTCTTCCATCCTCCTCTCTCTCTTTCCATCCTCTCTCTTCTTTCATTCTCCCTCCTCTCTTTCATTCTCCTCTCTCTCTCTTCATCCTCCCTCTCTCTCTCTTCTCCTCCTCCTCTCCTCCTTCTCTTCCTCTCTCTCTCTTTCTCTCTCCTCTTTCTCTTCTCCCTCTTCTCTCTCTTCCTCTCCTCTCTCTCTCTCTCTCCCTCTCTCTCTCTTCCTTCCCTCTCTCTCTCTTCCATCCTCTCTCTCTCTTCCTCTCCCTTCTCCTCTCTCTCTCCTCCTCTCTCTCTCCCTCCTTCTCTCCCTCTCTCTCTCCCTCTTCTCTCTCTCTCTCTCCTCCCTCTCTCTCTCTTCCATCCTCCTTCCCTCTCCATCCCTCCCTTTTTTTCTTCCTTTTTTTACCAGTAGGACATTTTATTATCCTTCAACGCATCAAACATTCAAGGATGTCTAGATCTACTGACGCCTCCTTGTCCCCACCTCCCTAGGTTAATCCCCCCCCCCCTTCCCCCCCAGACCACACCCTCAGACCACACCTGTATGCTATCATTTCATTCATTGACCTCTTGATTCATAAGTATGTATATGTATATATATATATATATATATATATATATATATATATATATATATATATAATATATAGAGAGAGGAGAGAGAGAGAGAGAGAGAGAGAGAGAGAGAGAGAGAGAGAGAGAGAGAGAGAGAGAGAGAGAAGAGACATATATATTTTTTTCTTTCTTTTTTTTCATTTTTCTTTCTTTCTTTCTTTTCTTCTTTCCTTTATTTTGAGGGGGGAGTGATATTCGATGAGGAGATGCACTAAAAAATTAAAATGACAAGTTGGTTACTAGTTAATGACTGGTGTTCTTAATTATCTAAAACACGCCGATATTACTGCAGCATTAGAGCCAGTCATCACCGACTGCTCGAGCTGTTTCTTCGCGTAAAAAAATGAATGAATGAATATATAAATAACTTAAGAAACAGGATCCCTTTTTCTTCCTTACTGTTTTTTTGTTTTGTTTATTTTTTGTTTTTCTTTTTTCACCTTTTCCTTTCTCCTCCTCTTCTTCCTCTTCCTTTTCTTCCTATCCCATATCCTCCCCCTCCTTCTCCCTTCCTTCCTTCCCTTCCTCGCTACCCATTCTTCCTCTTCCAGCTTGCTTTTCTGGTCAAAACTCCTCCCATCCACAACCTATCCCTACCTTCCCCTCCCCTCCCTCTCCCTATCACTTCCCCTTTCCTCTCCTTCTACCTCCTCCCCTTCCCCCTCCCTATCCCTTCTCCTCTTCTTCCCCATCCCTCCCCTTGCTCGCCTGCCTTTCTCCTTTAACGTTCAAGACTTCCCTTTCCCTATCCCTCCTCCTCCCTCCTCTCCTCTATCCTCCTCCTCCCTCCCTCTCTCTATCCTCATCCTCCTTCCTCTCCCTATCCTCCTCCTCCTCCTCCCTCTCTCCTAGCCCTCCTCCTCCTCTCCTCTTCCTCCTCTCCCCCCCTTTCCGCTTGCCTTTCCCCTTAGCGTTCAAGACTTCCCTTTCCCCTCAGCCACGTGGGCGTCCGGACAGCGAGGGGAGGAAGGGAGTCATTGTCAACACGAGACAAAGCAAGGCAAGGGACAGCCCCCTCCCCCTCCCCTCCCACCCTCTTCCCCTTCCTCGCCTTTTTACAGCGCTTCCCTTTCTTGTTGCTTCCTTTTCCTCTCTCCTTCTAGTCGGGTTTTTTTCTCTCTGCTCTTTTTCTCCTTTCTCTTCTCTCAGTTCCCCTTGTTGTGTTCTTATTCTCCTTTCTCTTCTCTCCTTTTCCTTATTCCCCTTTAATTCCCCTTTCTCCCTCTTATTCTCCTTCGTTTTCGCTTATTTTCCTTCTTCTCCTCTTTATTCCCGTTTCTTTCCAGTTACTGTCCTACCTTCCTCTTACTCCTAATTTCCCTTCCCCTCAATTCCCCTTCCTCTTTACTGCTTCACACCTTCTCCACCCCCTTCCCTTCCCCCAGTTCCCCTCCCTCTGTACCTTACCCTCACTGCCTCACCCCCTCTCCAACCCCCTCCCCCTCCTTCTGTAATTTTCTTTATTAACTGGCATCCCTTCACCGCTTCCCCTCTCCAACCCCCTCCCTTCCCCCTCTAACTCCTTCTCTGTTTCCCTTTCCCTATGTCCCCCTCTCACTCCTTCCCTTTCCCTTCTGGCGCCTCTCTTCACCACTTCCTCCCTCTTTCCCCCTCCCCCTATTCACCTCTTTCACTGTGCTTCCTTCAACACTCTAGTCTACTCCCCCCCCCCTCCCTCCTCCCCATCACAATTCACGTAAATCACGCCCCCTTTATCCCTCCAACAGGTGTAAGGTGGGGGGGGAGAGGGGGGTATCACTCTTTCCCTCAAATACCTAAGCTTATCCACCACCCCCGCCCCTTATCCCTAGTACCATCTGCCTTTCTCCTATCCCACCCCCACGCCCTCCACTCTCCTGTCCCCTTATCCATCCCTCCTACCCCTCCAACCCTTTCTAGACACCCCTCCCTCTCTCCCCTGCTTTCCCCTTCTAGTCTACCCTTTCTCTGTCCTCCCTTAACCATCCCTATCCCCCCTGCATACCCACCCTCTCCTTCCTCTCCCCTGCCCCTCTCCACTCACCCTTTCCCCTTCCCCATCTCTCTGTCCCCCTTTCCCTCCTCACCTCCCCTCCCAGCTCTCCTTCCCAATCCTTTCTCCCTTCCCATTCCCGCACCTCCCACACCTCCTCCCACCTAAACCCTCCCACCTCCTCCCCTCTTCCCCCACCCTCTTCCCATCTCCCATCTCCCACATCTCCCTCCCATCCCCCTCCCATACCTCCCTCCCACCTCCACCTCCCTCCTACCTCTCCTCCCTCTCCCACCCCTGCCCATCTCCCTCCCATCCCCCCATCCCACCCCTCCCATCCCCCCTCCACCTCTTCTCTCTTCCCACCCCTTACCACCTCCCACACCTCTCCCACTTCTCCCTACCTCCCCCTCTCTTCCTCCTCTTTATCGTGTTCATTCGGTTGACCGTTTATTGTTCGCGAAGGCTTTTATCCCGAGTTAATTTCTGGAGTGGCGGAAAGGAAGTGGAGGGGGAAGAGGAAGATAAAGAGGAGGAAGAGGAGTTAGAAGAAGGGGAAGAGGAAGTAGGAGGAGAGAAGGAAGAAGGGGAAGGAGGAAGAGGAAGAGGGAAAGAGGAGAAGTAGGAGGAGGAAGTTAGAGAAGGAGGAAGAGGAAGAGGAAAGAGAAAGAGAAGGAGGAGGAGGAGTTAGAGAAGAGGAAGAGAGGAAGTAGGGGAGAAGGAAGGAAGAAAGGAAGGGAGGAGGAGATGTAGGAAGTAAGAGGGAGAGGAAGAAGAGAAGAGGAGAAGGAGAAGAAAGGACAGAAGATCGAAACGAAGAAAAGAAGAAAGAAGAAGAAGAAGTACGAGGAATAAATACAAAACAGATCGCTCTATACATACTTATCGGAGACCTTACTCAGCCAGCGCGCGGTCAGAAGCCCGCCAGTAGAGCTGCTCAGTACCGCTTCGACTCAGTCCAGCCCGCCTGCAACGAAGGCACCATCCAACATACAACATGATTGGCAGGGAAGCGAGGAGAGGGGAGGGGTTGAGGGAGAAAGGGGAGGGGGAGGGAGAGGTGAGGGGTGTGAGGGAGGGGGAGGTGGAGGGGGTGAGGGATGAGATAGAAGGGAGAAGGGAGGAGGGTGAAGGAGAGGGGGAGGGGCTGGGAGGGAGAGTGAGGCGGGGTGAGAGAGCGTAAAGGGGGAGGGGGGTTTCGTGATCTGTGTGTTGTCTGTGGTGTGTGTGTGTGTGTTTGTTGTGTGTGTGTGTGTGTGTGGTGTGCTGTGTGTGGTGTGTGTGTGTGTGTGTGTGTGTGTGTGTGTGTGGTGCGTGGCGTGCGTGGCGTGCGTCGGCGTGCGTGCGTGGCGTTGCATGCATGCGTGCGGTGCGTGCGTGCGTGCGTGCGTGCCTTTGCGTGTGTGTGGCTTGCGTGTGTGTGCGGTGCGTGCGTGTGTATGTCTGTAATAATGTATTTGTACACTGAGATACAGGACACAAATGTAAAGTATAAACTCTTTCGTGTTACTTAAGCGCACTCACTAACACGCCTTTTCGTGTCGCACTTAAACAAACAAACAAACACCAACAAGCATGTCACACACACACACACACACACACACACATACAACACCACACAGCACACTACACACACACACACACACACACCACAACACATACAAACACACATACACACACACACACACACACATACACACACACACACACACACACCTTCTTTCAAAAACATCCAAAAAAACACGAATATCATCAATTTCTTCGACGATCCGATCATCAAAAAAAACGAAAAACGAAAACGAAAAATAAAATACAAATAAATAAACAAATAAATAAAAATGACAAAAAAAGGAAAAATTAAACACTAAAACCCGTCCTTGTCCTAATTCACATCGACTAAACCTTCAAAGCAGCGTCTGAGGCGAGAGCGAGCTGGCCGTTAAACCACAGATGAGTTTATTCGGCGGAATGTTATTGCGGGACGAAATAACGAGACGGAATGGGAGACAGGGAGAGGAAGGGGTGGGA